CAATCACATGGCTAGATTGCATATCGCACACATCAGAGTTTCTCGATCGCCCATGGCCAAATTGCAGATCACACGTATCAAAGCCCTCCGATCACGTGGTTAGATCGCAAATCTCATGCATCAGAGTTCTCGGATCGCGTGGTAGATCACAGATCATACACATCAAAGTTCTCGGTAGCGTGGTCAGATCTGTAAGAGATGATTCGAGTTCTTGGGTTGCGTGGTTAGATCGCAGATCGCACATATCAGAGTTCTCCAATCGGTGGCCAGATCGCAGACCGCACGATCGAGGTTCTCCGATCGCATGGCCAGTTATAGATCGCATGCATCAAAGCCATCAGATCGCGTTGTTAGATCACAAATCGCACACATCAGAGTTCTCGGATCGTGTGGTCAAATGCAGATCGCACGCATAAGAGTTCTCTAATCGTGTGGCCAGACTGCATATCGCATGCATCAGAGTTCTATATCGTATGGCCAGATTACAGACGCACACATCAGAGCCCTCCGATCGCATGGGTAGATCGTAAATCTCAAGCATCAGAGCTCTCAGATCGCTGTGTCAGATAGAGACGTACACATCAAAGTTTGGATCACGTGGTTAAATCGTAGATCGCATGCATCAGAGCTCTCAATCGTGTGGTCAAATCGCAGATCGCACTCTCAAGATCGTTGAGATCATGCGTTCAGAAATTAGAAGTGTTTCCAAGCGGCCAGATCGCGCTTTCAGCTCTAGATCGCTGATCCGAGTTTCTCAGATCAAGCTTCGCGTCTGATCCAACTCTTGTGTTCTCAGATCGAGCTTCATGCTTTCCGATCGAACTACTTTTGTTTGATGATTGAACTCCTTAAACTCTAGAATCGCAAAGAGCTCTCAACTCTCAGATCGTAAAAAACTCTCAAGTTCTCAGATGAGCTCTCTTATGCTCTCAAATCGAGTCTTTATGATCTCAGATCGAGCTCTTTATGCTCTCTGATAAGTTTCCTTATGCTCTCTAATTGAGCTCATAAGCTCATTCGTTTACTTGAGTCGTGTGCATCAGATCGTTAGATCGCATGTCTCAGACTCTCAGGTTGAGCTCCTATCAAATCGGATCAGCTCTAGCTCTCAAATCAGATCAGTTCTCAATTTGAGATTGTGAACAGCCTCAAGTTGTATTCTCAGTTCTAATCACGATTAGTTCTCAGTTCTCAGATAGCTACCAGTTGCCAACGTTAGAAAAAACACATAAGAAAACTCAAAACATCCGAAACATGCTGAAATGGTGGATTTTGGCCCTGAAAATGGCCCTAACTTGGTCCTCAGTTGCCACGATGTATGAGCTTAGAGCAAGCTTTCTGTGGAATCTTATGGGTTCCCAAAACTCTTCGAATTAAAAGTTATGATGTTTTAGTTGGCTTATCCGTTAAGGCCTCTAAACAAGTGCGTTTGGACTTCTGACGTTAGCACCCTTTGGAATTTATTACTGGATATTTCATGTCAGTTATCAGATCGTGCTCAGCTTTGGATCGCTCCAATCTCTCAGATCACAGTCCTAGCTCTTAGCACCTATTACGCCAAGCATAGTTCGAGCTCTTCAGTTCGAGACTGCAGCATAGTTGTGACAACCATTCAGATTTAAGACATGGTTTTTGAAGTGCAATTATGTACTGCAAAACTGGGGGGTTCTGGTATGCCTGAAAAATCACCTTGATGTCAGCTCAACAAGTGCCTAAAAAACGAAGTGTACTAGTTGTCAAGCTCATACGCCTCAGAGATATTTATATCAACCCTATCTCATTTTTAATATAGGATGAATGAGAGCTCTCCATGTGTCAAGGCAACTTGCAAAAATACTCATTACATGACATCAAAGATGCATCATTGACACCACTCTTCACAAAACGAGAGGTTGGGCAGAAAGAGAGCTAGACAAATATTTGAGCTTCATTATTTCTCTCTATAAACAAGTATTCTCCATCTTTGTATGCCTTATGGTAATATATAGAAATAGTCAGAGAATAATAAAATAACAGGGATGTAGGATTTGCTTTAACTCTCGAAACCACTATAAAAACCTTCTTGCCAATCTTTATTTATGTTTCTACAAACATATATATCTCAGCCACATATTCAAATCTCACGGAGCCATTACATATAATTTCTAAAAACTCTCTTAGCACTTTGCATGTGCAAGTCGTTGGTGTCAAAATCAAGAATCAACAAGGATATACTCAATTTTTTATTGCATTTGCACAATGTAAACTCATTTTGTTACATGATCATATGTCGTTTGCTTAATAAGATTAAATAATATAATTGTGCAATGTCTACTGTTCTTTTTGTATGTATTGGGCTTTTGGTGGTGGTCTTTGGTGTATAGATTACAATAGTGATAGAATTGAGGTGGGTTGACTCCTCACCAATAAGGTCTTATTGAATAGAAGGATTCTCTTCTTATAAACCATAGACTTAAGCATGCTTAGTCGGTGTTGGACTCCAACCATCCCCCTTACAGTCAAGCCTATATATGTTGGATCATGCCCTAAGGAGGTAGTTGTGGGTTCAACTCTTCACCCGCTAGTCAAGCACTCAGCTCAACTAGGCTAGCTCTGATATCATGCTGTAGAATTGAGGTGGCTTGACTCCTCACCCAATAAGGCCTATTAGGTGAGGAGTTAGGAAACCTTAAATTTTATCATGGAATTAGAGCCATATTTGTTTCTCTCCCCCTTTGGTTGGGGCGATGATGGGTTTGGACTTTGTCTTGCACGCTGAGCGCGAAAAGGGTGTTAGAGTTGAATTTGTCTCACACCGCCCCAATAGGTGGCTATTACGGTGTATGTTAATGGTTGGGCTCCCTCTCCTTGAACTACTTTTGGGAGTGAGTTCTACCCAAGCCCACTTTATCAATATCTGCCCCTATTTTGTGATGCTGATATGCTTATGTGTTGCTTATCAAGACTAGCTTGTTGGTTCATAGGGATTGTAAATCCTGGCTCTTTTTATTGTTTTTTGTTGGTCCTTGGGCCATGTCCAGGCAACCTAACCACACTCCCCTAGACACCTCCTTGGTGGTTGAGTTCTTATCTTCTTAAATATACCCTTTTTACCAAAAAAAGAAATGAAAAGGAGACTATATAACCAGGCTTGGACTGGAGTGAGTACATACTCAATTTTTATGGCATAAGCTGTAAAGTTTTTTTATTATTTTGCACACAATGTAAACTCATTTTGTTACATGAATCCTTTGTCATTTGCTTCATAAGATTTATAAACTTTGATGCTTGATTTTGACCACAATCTTCACGAGTGTGAAGTGTAAAGGGACTTGACATCACAGTGATATGGAAGTGTAAAAGAGAGAGTGAGCAGGTACAAATTTAAAGTGGTTTGGATGTTCTAAGGCGGATCGTGTGATTATATAATGGTTGATTACAATCAAGTCGCACTCGGCAAGCTGAACTAATAGAAAAAGTAAAATAAAGGAGAGAGAGAGGAGAGAGAGAGTAGTATGTTTTGGCGGTGGATGAGCCAATCCTATAAAATAGAGGAGAGCCCCTTATGTTATAGTCGGAGGATTCAAGCTGGTAAATATGAATCTACGTGTATGCAGTGGTGTGTTACAATCCTAACCCGCTTTTCATATGTTGTCTGTACGAGGATATCCTTAATACGAGTAGGACTTCACATGTGGACAATTCCTAACAAACTTATAAGGTGGCGTTCACCTGCATCACTGCGATGACTTTTCCCTCTCGTCCTTGCGGGACGTGCTGCATCCAAACGGTAGAAAACCTCCTAAATTCTGAATTGGTTTGTTCTACATGAATTAAGCTTATGCCAGTACTGGTTTTGGGCATAACAAATACAATTGTTCTTCGAGTTGGACGGAGTGTGCATTTATTTTTAATAAACCATATTATTTTTATATGGCATTTCACTAAATAGATAATTCTCAATAATAATTACTTTCCCAATTTGTTAGTGATAACCAGTAATCACTGTTTATATAAACTCTTCTTTTTCTATGCAAAAGAAGTTACAGAGAACCTAAAACATTACATAGAACCAAACTATAAGATAGAAAAACAAGATCAATAGTTTATAAGAAAGTCTGTTATTCTTCACCGAAAGGTATTGTTGATGCTTAATTTTGCCATCAACTAATTACACGTAGGAAATGCTGAGTTGACTTAGAAGACACATGTATATATGGGGATATTGGATTAAGTAAAGGATGAAGAACAATGTTTAAAGTGATTCGGATGCTTAAACAAGCGAATCCTACATCCACTGATATTGTATTAATATATGAGATCAGGTTGCGTCTAGCGAACTGATTTATAGCTTAGAGAATACAAGTGAATACACGAGAGAGAGAGAAAGAGAGAGAATGTATGCTATTTCAGAGAAAAATTAGTTAATCTCACAAACGGGAGAGGAGCCCTCTATTTATAGTGGGATAAATTGAGGTAATGATTAGTTGATTACTGAATCTTTAAGTGGGTCAGATTGTCATGCAAATCTTTTTTTGTGTTCCGTTGCTTACCTGCTCGAGTGATTTCCTCGATTTGTATAGGGATTGGACACGTGGACCTTTTTCAGCCTTTTGTCAATCTGGCACATACCTACTACACTGGTAGGAGCATGCCGCTCACGTCAGCATGGGATGTGACTGCGTCTGAATGGCTGCAAAACCTATCTAAACTCTAACCGCCCATGGAGTAGCATCAACCCTACTTTTTCAGGCATAATAGGTATGTACTTAGATTCCCCTTTTTTGATTTATTATTGTTGATATGTATTGCTTACAATGTAAACTTTTAATTTAAATTAAAACGTAAGCATTGTGTCATTAGTGATTAAGGGTCAAAGATATGGGCATTTGACTAGAAAATAAAGGCGATGAATTGCCGATTATTTCGAAATGGATTAGACCGAATTAGCATTAAAAAATGAAAATCCCCCTTAATCATGAATCATGCACATAAGTTTAATCTTGATCAATCAAAGCCAAATATCTAATCCTCTAAACCTTTTCTCTCACTTAATTGATTAATCTTGGCCACCAATCGCCATTATAAAATCTCCTCCCAACCTTCTCTTTTCCTTTAGCTCTTAACCACATTTTCAGTCTTTCATTGATTATTATTAGCTTTTCAGCTTTCCCAAGCAAAGCCATAGCTGTTACTACAGACTACAGTATCGCCATATTTTACAGTCTCTCTTTAATGCAAAGCGGCTTTGGCAGCAAAATCTGACAAACAAACAAACTCTTTTAATTGCCTGTTTTCTTAGCTCTCTCTCAGTATCTACGACAACACGTTTGTTATTTGATTCCTTTTTCTTCAGTAGTCAACTAAGTCAATCGCTCAGTAGCCAGAGATTCTTCAACTGTAAACAAAGAAGAATCGAAGATGCTCGACACTGTGAAGTACCTTATCGGCGCAGCTGGCGCCAGTGGCTACGGCTCTAAGTCCACCGCCGAGGAAGTCACCGAAAACTGTCCTGATTTGCGATCCATTACCGTCATCATTACCGGTAACTTTACCTTTACTTTAAGGGCTTATATATATGAAATATGATCAATCTTGATGATCGACTGAGAGGACTGATTTTTTGGTTTTTTTTTCTGTTTGAACTAGGTGCCACGTCAGGGATAGGAGCCGAGACGGCTCGGGTGTTGGCCAAGCGACGCGCGAGACTGGTGCTACCGGCTCGGAGTCTCAAAGCTGCTGAGGAGGCCAAGGCGCGTATCACGTCCGAGTGTCCCGATTCGGAGATTGTTGTTATGGCTCTTGATCTTAGCTCTCTCAAGTCCGTTAGAAACTTCGTTTCAGAGTTCGAGTCTCTCAAGTTACCTCTCAATCTCCTCATGTAAGCATCCAAACTTCCGTTTTGCGTTCTCTTTCATTCATTATCTGTCCATTTTTATTCTGTTTGGTTGCCGAGAAAATCCAATAACTCGCTACTTTCATTTTTTGTTGTTTGCTTAAAGTTTTCACCAACCAAACGCAACAACCTTACACAAAAGAACTCATTGTCATTTGATAATTAACATATTTAATTTAAATTAAACATTTTTTAAATTTCTTTTTTATTGGTTGATCTAGAAACAACGCTGGCAAGTTTGCACACGAGCATGCAATATCTGAAGATGGAATCGAGATGACCTTTGCTACTAATTATCTAGGTAATTAATTATACAAAATCAAATGTATTAAAATTATTTGGTGAATTATGGCTGATATTTTGATGAATTTTCAGGTCATTTTTTACTGACTAAACTCTTACTAAAGAAGATGATTGAAACTGCAAAAGAGACGGGCGTTCAAGGCAGAATAGTGAATGTATCATCCAGCATCCACACTTGGTTCGCCGGCGATATGATCCGATATCTCGCACAGATATCGCGAAACAAAAGGTAAAGTTAGAAAGCAAACAGGATCAGGAGGTCTTTAATTATTTACTTGGACTGATCATGAAATAAATGATAGGGGGATTTGACTTTATTTGTTTCTGGTTTCTGTTTGTTTATTTTTTATTTTTTTAATTGAATTTTTTTACTCCCTTGTCTCCAGTCATTACGATGCGACACGTGCTTATGCTCTCTCGAAGCTCGCTAACGTTTTGCACACCAAGGAGCTTGCTCAGAGACTCAAGGTATACGTGGGATTTTTTTTCTTTATTTTATTTATTTAAAAAGCGAATTTTGTTGTTTTCCCTTTGATTTTCTTGAGGACTATTGTATTAATAATTATATGTTTGTTAATAATGCAGCAGCAAACGGATGCCAACGTGACTGTGAATTGTGTTCATCCTGGGATCGTGAGAACCCGTCTTACTAGAGAACGAGAAGGCTTTCTCACAGGTCAATATATTATTATTATTATTATATGAAATTGATGATTTCTTTAATCTCTCATCTTAATTAATTAATTAATTATTATGCAGATCTTGTATTCTTCTTGACCTCAAAGCTTTTGAAGACCATTCCTCAGGTAATTAAATTTACAAAGTGTTAATTTCTTTTCTTTTTGATTCTGTGTTGTTAATGAATATCTAAAATATTTGGTGTATTGTTGTAATTGTAGGCTGCTGCTACGACCTGTTATGTTTCTGTTCATCCGAGACTTGAAGATGTTTCTGGAAAGTATTTTGCGGATTGCAACGAAGCTTGGACGTCAAAATTGGGATCCAACTCAAATGAAGCTGCAAGATTATGGGCCATCTCTGAACTTTTGGTTTCTACAGACCCTAAAGAAGTCCTTGATATCAACGCAAAGCCTTGGATTTAAAAAGATAATTAAATTTAGAAACTACGAGAGAGACTGAAGTCTTAGTTGTACATGATCAAGGAAGGGAGATCAGAAATATATATATACTTATATAGTATAGATAAACACAAATGTATACAAATATTTAGATGAGTATAATTAGTAATGAAGATAAGAGATAATTAATTAATTAGATAAACAGCTTAAAAATATAGGTGGTTTCATGTGTTGGTAGAAGTTAGGCAAGTTCTGAGATATGAACTTGATTATATATATAATTATACAATGATTATGGAGTTAGAGTTTTGTTGATGTGGAAACCCTAATCCAGATTGTTAATATGATGATCGGTTTTGTTTATTAAGAACATGGGGGAGGTGGGTTCGTGGCATGTGGTGGTTGATTTTAGAAGAGTATCTTTGTGGTAATGCTGTGGGCGGCCCTACTAACATGCGCCAGCAAGTTTGGTGGTGGGAGGGAAACATGCGTTTAAGGAAAGAAAATTTCAATATCATTACTCGTACGTGTTTATTTAATTAATTAATATATATTATTAATTTAATTAATGTTTTTGCAAAGACCATCCGTTAATCCATCAATGCAAAATTAATGAAGACTCGTAAGTCGTAAATTTGACTCTCTCAGTTGTCCGTTAATCAACAATAATACTTACAAAAGCCGGCCAGTCACAGAGAAACCCTAGTCATCCCGTTTTCAGAGTTAAGAAGCCTTCTATGCAAAAAAAATGAAAAAATATGACCATTTTGACCATTTCTTAATTTTCTTTGGGGCCAACGGCCCAAACCTCACATGCACACACACACACACACACACACACACACACACACACACACATACACACACATATATATATAGGGTGTTTGGTTCGGGGTATTAGAGATTAATGGATTAAGTCATCTTATATTACTTGATTATTATGTTTGGTTGTCAAGTAATATAAGATACTGATAATCTTCAAATATCAATAGTGGTTACTATTGATAATATTTGAGGTAATCTAATTATCTCAATTTTCTTAGGTATTCTAAGATTACTAATATTATCTTTTTTGTTATAATTCTATCCCTTATTAATAAAATTTTAGGACAATAATGCCCTTTTAAATTTATTTACATGAATATAGCTTTTACTATTTCACCCCAATCAATTAACTTTTTAGACAAAATTACCCTTGAATTCAAAACAAATTACAGTCTACCCAAGTCACCACCCCCAGCCACTTGTCGCTGGTAACCACTGCCGTGGCCAGTCACCGCAGTCGAAATGGCCGCCGTGCGTCGATATGGCGTGGTCGTCAATGGCCATCGATCTGCCCGTTGATTGCTAGATCAATGGATCTGGCCGTCGACAGTCAGATCTGTTAGGTTTGGCCATTTCTAGCCAGATCTCTGACCGGAAATGGCCATACGGCACACGGAGGCCATTTCCTGCCTTCCGTACGTTGTTAGGTTGTTGGAAGCCAATGGCCTATGGTGGTTGTCGACAGTGGCTGGGTTGGTGGGGGTGCTTTGTTGATTTTCCAAACTTTTATTATGGGGTTGTTTTTGCTAAGTTTTTAAATGTAGGGGGGGTTATATAATCCAAATAATAATAATATTAAAAAATAATATAATAATAATATTTAATTAAAGGGCAATTCAGTAATTTAAATAACATACCCACCAATTTATTCATTCCAACCAAACATATTAATATAACATACCCACTAATTAACCAAACACATTTTCCTAAAGATTCTCAGTAATCTTTAAGGTAACATATCTTTCCACTAATCTAACATTCCATGAACCAAACGCCCATATATATATCACATTAGCATTCGAGACGGTTGCCGTTTGCCATTTTCCGATCCATATGTTTTGGCCTCTATCAAAGTGAATGTGAAGTGGCTGCTAGAGCATTTTGGGTAGGGGTGTTAAAAAAAAATGTAGAAATCGAACTGAACTGGTTTTTTGATTATTCGGAAAATCGGTTCGGTTTCGGTTCAAAGAAATACAAAAATTGGTTTTCTGGTTTGGTTACCGATTTACTGGATTATGAGAATTGGTAAACCAGAACTAGTTTTATAAACTGGTTTATTATAAAAATAATAAAATATAAAACCGGTTTAAATTAAGGAAAAATCAAAATAAAAAATAAGTTAATTGGTTTTCTAGTTAACCGAAAAACCGGTTTTTCCCTTAATCGGTTCGGTTTCGGTTCAATTTAGAAAATCGGTTAATTGATTGTAAGCACCTCTAATTTTGGATGATGGAAACTAAATAGCCTAAGCAAAAATTAAAATTAAAATCAAAAATTAAAATCCGACTGATCTATTCTCATATATTTGGGTAAATTGATATAAAAAAGTTCTTTTACATTTTTCAAACCAAATAATTAACAATTTTTTTTTATAAATACTACATTTTCATAAACTCTTCTTCTATAAATTTTGGTCGAACAAGCCGTACAAAATGGACCCTTAACCATATCCTTATAAATTAACTATTAATTCCTAATTAAAAATTGATTGTTATTAAGGTATTTTAATACTAATTGTTGAATGGACGACAATCCACTTGCTGTTATAAAATGATTTTCTGTTTTTTTTTTTAATATAGAAGGCGATGATAATGTGTTCGTGTGTTCTAAATAAAGGAGAACTTGTTCTGTATTGTTATGTAAATGGCTCGGTAAATGATGGGCCATGAAGCCCATTAATTTGTGAAATTGGGCTTTGTGAAGGGCCCATTATGTGCCCAGAAGTCCTTAAACCTAATTTTCCCCATAAACCCTAAGAGAGCTTCAAAACCTTGACACACTTTTGAGTCGGATCCGCACCACCAACGGCACCAGAAAATGGCTAGTCTAATCCCTGAAACAACCCAGAAACTCTTCAATCCGGAGACCCTCCGCTCCGCCGCCAAACAATCGGAGCGCTGCCTTATCGTCCCCGTCCGTCTCCGCCGTGCAATCAAAAGATACATCCGAGGTTAGCTACTGAGTAACTATCTTATCATACAAATAATTTTGTTTTTAACATATATATAAACAAATGAAATTAATATTTCTTTTTGAAAAATTATGTGTAGAGCAAGATGAGCCACACATGAAGAGGAAAGTGTTGAGGTTGTCAGAATCATTAAGCGAAATAAAGGGTGTGAATCGGATGCTAACAGAGTCCTCTTCAAAGGAGCGTTTTGAAGACCCTTTTAAGTCCATGGAGCAATCAAAGAGGTGGAAGATCAAGAGCGCTTATGGAGACATTGGTCTTAAGTACAGGGACGATGAGAGTATTGCTTATGTTGCTTCAAGAATGCCTGCCGTTTATTCTGCTTGTTATAGAGTTCTCTCTGAGGTATTCAATATTTAAATTTGTTGGGTAATTTTTTGTATTCTTTATATTAGCTTTATCATATAATATAGTAGTGGAAGCAATGGGGCAGACGTTTTTTTGGCAAACCATCTGAAGAATAGAGGTTTTGATGAGAAGATTGTATTGAATTTGTAAATATAATTTGGGTTTTCAGGTTCGAAGGAGGTTACCAGGTTTCTCACCTGCAAGAGTACTAGATTTTGGTGCTGGCACTGGTTCAGCTTTCTGGTAACAGCTCAGTTTGATTGCATACTTATGGTTTTCGGTGATTGAGATGTGGGATGGTTTTCGTCTTTTTTATTGTAGCGGACTTTTATGTAACTTGAATGAAATATTGTCAGGGCATTGCGAGAAGTTTGGCCTCGCTCTTTGGAAAAAGTGAATATAGTTGAACCATCCCAATCAATGCAGCGTGCAGGTCAGAGCCTTACACAAGGTAATTGTCAATCTGAATATTTTTACTATTCATTTGATTAACCATGGTTAGAAATTTACTTGATAGTGGGTCAATTTAGTAATTGCTCTCTGCCAGTCGCAGTTGTACAATAGTTCAATTAAATGACTATAGGATTGTGGAATGTCTGAATTCATGAATCCTACAGAACCTCATTATACAATGGTTTGTTTGTGATTTACATATTTATGAACTTGTTACATAGTTTAACTAGGTTTGGCATTCATTCAAGACTTTTGACTCCTGACCAACTCGTTAAATGTTTCCTTACATGTCCGACATCCTTTCAAGCAGTTGAATGGTGAGGCATTTAAGTTATATTACTGGCTGTCATCATATGTGATTAAAAAGTAGATGTTCTGTTTACTTTCCAGTATTACTAGATTGTATGTATTTTGATTATTATTATCATTATCTTTTAAACCAAAACTTATGTATCAAGTAATGTAATCGATTATGATTTTAACTCATTTCGTAATTGTTTTAGGCCTGGAGAATTTGCCTCTTATTCATAGCTACGATAGCATTCAAGCGCTAAGTAAAGATATCAAAAAGTCTGAGAGGGAACATGACCTTGTAATTGCTGTAAGTTGTATCTTTAGGATTCTTTGTAAATTTGCCTGAAATTGTTAGATTTTGGCTTTGCATGAATTTTTGTTATAACATGTTTGTATTTGATAAAGTATTTTTCAAACCAGTGTAATGTGCTTCTTCGTATGTGGCTTTTGGCTGGTGCTAATTAATATTGATTATCTTGGCAATGGGGTTAAGTCTTACGTGCTTGGGGAGATACCGTCGCTGAAGGACCGAATTACTATAGTTCGCCAACTTTGGGATCTTACAGGGGATGTTCTGGTACTGTTCCTGGCTTATCAATAAGTTTCATGTTTCACTTTATAATTGTGCATGATGGAGGGATTCCGATGATTATATATTTCTACTTAATGCTATGCATGAAAAAACACATAATCTTTACATTTTGATAATATCATGATTTATAGAATTGCTCGTCAATCTGTTATTATTTGCATAGTTTTTATATTGGCAATTTTCAGTCTAACATGTTTTCCTTTGATTTCTGTATCATCAAATGCTGGTCAGGTTTTAGTTGAACCGGGTACACCACAGGGATTTAGTATCATATCTCAAATGCGGTCTCATATATTATGGATGGAGAAAAGGGTGAGCTCATTTAGGATGCCTATTCAACATTTGTCACAGAGAGTGTCTTGTGTTTGTCATTTTATGATTTTACTTTTTTTTTTTTTTTTTCTCCAATTCTCAATTCATTCCTCTTTCATCATTTCCTAGAAAAGCCGGAAATCTGAAGCTCGTAAGTCTAAAGGTGTAAACAACAAAAATTCGAACGAGGTCGCAACTCTCAGAAGTGGTGTGCATATAGTTGCTCCTGTGAGTACGGAAATATTTTCTTGTTTTCTCCTGTGTGTCATGCTAATATACTCACTAAGTTTCCTCACCTCCTTATTCCTTCTTCTACCCAGTTTTCTTGTCCAATATTTTATTTTCTTGTTGCAGTGTCCTCATGATGGACGTTGTCCATTGGTGAATTCCGGAAAATACTGTCATTTCGTTCAGCGTTTACAGAGGACAACATCACAGCGTGCATCTAAGGTTCCTCCTTGACCCACTTTTTGCATGGTCTCCCCCTGCAAGAATCTTTATTTTACCTGTTATGTAGCTGTAGTGCAGTTTTTTGAGTGTGAACTAGGAATTGGTTTCTTTTCTTATCATGTTAACCCATTTGCTTTGTTATCATAAAGGTTAATTGCTACGTAGTCTTATCCTCACTAGTGTCAATGTTACTTTGACAGGGGTACCCAAGTAAAATTTTAAGCTATTTTTGGCACAGCATTTTCAACTAGAGTTTTAAATAATAGAGGCTTATTTGTGATTGTTTTGTAGCACACGAAGGGTAAGCCTTTACGTGGATTTGAAGACGAGAAATTTTGCTTTGTTGCTTTCAGACGTGGACAAAGACCTAGGTTAGTAGTCTTGAGTGCTGTTCTTAAATTTGTGAATTGGGTTATTTACCAATTAAATGTTTCTATTTCTAATATAGTCAAGTATCAATAAGATTCTCTACGAAACCAATCGAACCTGCTATTTTTGCCATGTCATCTAGTCAAACAAAGGATTCCTTTGCTGCAGAATGGAATTGTGTGAACCACCTTCTGATTTGTCTATATATTTTCTTTTTTGATGATTGACTAAAACAATCATACGAGCCCTGATTGACCATGCTGATGAGCCCTGATGACGGTGTTATCGTGGGGGCAATGATTTGAGTTCTAGGGGTGATGTCTGCATGAATTATATTAAGGTTCACAGAGAAGAATCAAAGTCAACTTGTTGGGAGTTGAATGATCTAAGTGCATTCACCTCATAAAAAAAAAAAAAAAAAAAAGTTTTTCTCAATTATTTATCTCATGATTGGGACAGGGAACCCTGGCCGCTTGATGGTATGGAATTTGATACTTTGAAGGAGCAAAATGCTAAAAGAAATCCAGAAGATCTTGAAATCGACTATGGTACATCTCAAACACTCTGTATTCCTCTTAGCCCTAATTACCCAGTGTACTGAAATAATTAATAGGTTTCATCTAGTAACAGAAGATCTGTCGTGCTCTAATTTTGATATTCTATCGTTGGTACTTACAGAGGATCTACTTAAATTACAAGCCGAAGCCGAAGATAGGCGACATGAGTTAGTAAATCCAGTTTATTATGACTCTGATGGTGATGATGATGTTGACAAAGATTTAGAGGTGGAAGAGAAAGAAGATAAAACAGGCCGTGCTAATGTTGGGGGTGGCTGGGGAAGGATTATCTTTGGTCCTGTTCAAAGGGGCAGGCAGGTTACCATGGATGTCTGTCGATCAATCAAAAGGGATTGCTCAGAGGGCACATTTGAGCATGTTGTTATGACACGGACCAAGAATCCTATATTACATCGTCTGGCTAGGAAATCTTTCTGGGGTGATTTGTGGCCCTTCTAAACCCAAATTAACCTATTTGTTTTCCTTTTAATCACTAATGTAAATAGTTTAGTATCAGTGAGAAATCATCTTTGTATTTTGCCCTTAAAAAATGCGAATATTTCAACAAATGGTGATCAAATGTCAAGACTTGTAATGTCACAAGTTCATATTCTTTGTATCACAAATTTTATTTTAGATATAGAATTGAATTTCTACTTCTTGTCTCAGCAGACAGCAGCCTTCATTTGTCTTTTGTGCTGGCCATTGAACACATTCAAAGTTTCATAGAGCTTTGTCAAAGATGTCTAGCTAACGGTTCACATTTATTAGCCATGTTTAGATACGGATATTCCGGAATTTCTGATGCTCAAATGGTTATAAATATATCAACTATAACAGATTCTTTTCTCTCCTCACAGAATTATGTTTTCATTAAATTAATGTCAAGGATTATAATTTCAAGATATTTTTTTTTTTTTTAATGATTATGGTGCTGGCATTGGTTATACACACCTCAACTAATTTCTCGAGACTTTAGAATTATTGATCAAATAACAGCTCTAGTAGTTACCCCTTTAAATAATCGAGGAACGATTCGAACTTAGAATCTTTTGAGTAATACAGTTCTCGTGGGATTACTCAACCACCTAGATCAATATTATAATTTATTCTTGGATCTCTAAAGATTACGTAGCTAGCTACAACAACCGTCATTAAGGGTACGTTTGGTTCAGGGAATGTTGAATTACTGAGAATGTTAGATTACTGGAATCTTATACTGCCTTGAAGATTATTGGAAATCTTTAGAAAAATGTGTTTGGTTAGTTGATGGGTATGTTATATTAATATGTTTAGTTAGGGGGAATAAATTGGTGGGTATGTTATTTAAATTACTAAATTACCCTCTCTTAAAATATTAATATAATTTATTTTTATTATTAATTTTTTAATAGTTTTTTTAACCCCCAATATTTTAGTTTTAGCTAAAACACCCCCACTTATATAAAACTTTAATTTATGACAAAATCACCCCCACCCCCTACCGCCGCCTGCCGCCACCGCAAACCATCGTCGAAAGTCGTCAAAGGTCGCTGTGAATAGCTCATCGTGATTGCGAGGCTCTGATATGGCCGTTTCTAGCCATATTGAGGGCTAGAAACGGCCATATCAGGCCAGATCTATTCTAGCCATTTCCTGCCAAATCCTTGGCCATTAGCGGCTAGATTTGGGTGAGATCTAGCCGTTAACCTCTAGGTCCATGGCCATTAATGGCCAGATCTATGGTCGTTAAAGGCCAGATCTGGCCTAGATCTGGCCTGATATGACCATTTTTGGCCATCAGTATGACTAGAAACGACCATATCAAAGCCTCTCGGAGCCTCCCAGTGACTCTCGGTCATTTTTAGGGACTTCAGCGACTTTCCGTGGTCCATGGTGGCTGGCCGGCTGTCAGCAATGGTGGCGATGGTAGTCTATAATTTGTTTTAAATATAAGGACATTATTATCTAAAACCTTAATTGAACAAGAGTAAATTGAAATGATATATCAATTATTGTCTAAAATTTTTATTAATAAAGGATGAAATTGTAACAAAAATAAGATTACCTTGATAATCTTATAATACCTAAGAAAATTGAGGTAATCAGATTACCTATAATATTATTAACAACAATAATTATTAATAATATAAAATTATCAAAATTTTATATATTATTGAATAACCAAACATGATAATCAAGTAATCGTAAGATAAGAAGTAATCTTAATTATTTCCACGCCCATAATAGTTAAGAACGAAATGCAAAGTAAGAAAGCCATCTGACGAAACTGACGTGACAGACCAACTTATTTATTCTTTAGTTATGAACATGATACAAAATGGATGGTAGATAATATTATTTAATGCCACTAGAATATGCTGGTTGGCTACTTCTAATTGACCAGGAAACTCAACGCAATAGATTTACAATTTACAAACATTCATCAATCACTAGAGACATTAACAATCAAACAGATCGAAAAGGACTTAAATCGATCAAGTTGACCTCCAGTTAACTTAACTGAGAAGCAGATCATCCTGATCATACTCTTCAAGAAATCCATCAAGAAAGTTTAGAAATGAATTATCGCAGGCATTATTATCAGTCAAACTGTAGCATTCTTCGTTAATGTGAGCGTTGTTAACTTCTTCTTCTTCTTCTATAAGAGGAGGCCAGCATGGAGCTGGAGAATCATTCAACGCAACCTCTGGATCATCTGCTTTAATAATATTATCTTCTCCATGGCTAGATAATGACGATGATCCACTTGCCATGTTCTCAAAACCCATGTTACTGATTGCATGGAAGTATGGAGAAACCTTAACAGCCTTGGGAAGATACACTTTGGTCTTTGTAATTGTCTCTTCGTTTGCAGTCGTTTTCTCCTCGTTCTTCTTCTTGAGTTTCTTTTCAGTTGTGGACTGGCTCCTTTTCTTCACCGCTTTTGATGTTTTTGGTTTACTTTCTTCACCTTTTTCCACTCTTTTGCTCAGATGAGAATTCCAGTAGTTTTTAATCTCATTGTCGGTTCGACCTGGAAGCCTTTTAGCAATGAGAGACCAACGATTTCCAAGAAGAGAATGAAGCTTGATGATAAGTTCCTCCTCATCTGGTGAAATGTTTCCTCTTTTAATATCAGGTCGCAGATAGTTCATCCATCTCAGCCTGCAACTCTTCCCACATCTAAGTAGCCCTTCACACAAACAAATCAAACAATCAAAATCTGACCAATAAAACTAAATGAATTAATATATATACATACTTGTAATATTTCTTTAGAGTATATATTAGTATTACCAGCATTTTTAGGCAGATTTCTCCAGTGGCCTTCACCATGAACTCGAATATAGTTAACGAGCAAAGCATCTTCTTGGACACTCCATGGACCTCTATACAAACCCACTTTAGCACAACACGGGGCTCTTCCCATTTTTCCTCTCTTGCGAAATATCTCAATGCCAATGAAAGAGAGAAAAATCAAGTCAAGCACAATTAGCTAAAATTCCCTGGCCACCATTTAAAGGGCCAGGAACGATGTGACATGAGACTATTCTGAGGTCATCTTTTAATTATATTCAAACCAATACAAATTTATCAACTTTGACAATAGAAATATCAAATGATAGAAGCCATCACATTTCACATGCTTATATATATTATAAAGGATTCTTCAAATGATTTAACTTATTCCATTGATTAATTAATCCTCAAGATAAGGAAACTTCAACTACACTTCTCTTCATTAAATATATCTTATATTCTCTTAACTGGTTGCTTCTCAAACTTATCTTCTGTATAATTAAATTTCGTTGATGATAGTGACTTTTAAGCATATTTATTTGACCGATTTTTACATTCCAATACGTATGCCTACTTTATTTTTTAACTAATATATTTTATTTTCAAACATATTAATTTGACCGTTTATATTAATGTCTTCGAAGCTGGAAATAAAAATCACCAGATCCCGCCTCCTTTGAGTTCTCATACGTTGAATATTTGGGATGACTGCATTTGTTAAGACTAAAAAATAAATCTTTGACCCGCTACGTTGTAATTACTTTGGATGAAGATTAATGGCTTTTAGTTTACCTACCTCAAGAAACGAAAACCACGACTGTATAACCAGAGCTTGGACTGGAGTTGAGCTAAGTATTGTTATGCCTAAAAAAATCACCCTGATGTCAGCTCAATAAGTGTCTAAAAAATTATCCTGGTGTCATTCTGATGTCAGCTCAACAAGTGTCTAAAAAATAAAGTGTATTAGCTATCAAGCCCATACCGTCTCAGAGATATTTTATACTAACCCTATCTCATTTTGAGATAAAGACGAATGAGAGCTCTCCATGTGTTAAGGAAACTTGCAAAAACACTGATTACATTGACCTCAAAGGTGTATAAATTGACACCTATTTTCATAAAAAGGAGAGGCTGGGCAGATGAGAGCTAGACAAACATTTGAGCTTCATTATTTTTCTTTGTAAACAAAGTATTTCTCCATCTTTGTATGCCTTATAGGCAATATCATATAAATAGTTGGAGAATAATAAAATAACAGTGGATGTAAGATTTGCTTTAAGCATCCGAACCACTATAAAAACCTCTCTTTTATTTATGTTTTTGCAACATATATAATCTCAGCATCATATTCAAATTTTATGGATCCATCACGTGTAATTTCTAAGACTCTCTTAGCACTTTGCACGTGCGAGTCGTTGGTGTCAAAATCAAGCATCAACAGTTTGGTGGCCCATGCAGGTCTCGAACCTTCGTCCAAGCACCCCGATGGCGTGGTCAAATCGCAAATCGCATGCATCAGAGCCCTCCAATCGCGTGATCAAATTGCAGATCACACGCATCAGAGTTTTCGGATCGCGTGGTTAGATTGCAGATCGCAAGCATCAGAGTTCTCCGATCACGTGGCCATATTGCATATCGCACGTATCAGAGCCCTCAGATCGCGTGGTTAGATCACATATCACACATATCAGAGTTCTCGAATCATGTGGTCAAATCACAGATCGCACGCATCAGAGTTCTCTAATCGCGTGGCCAGATTGCATATCGCACGCATCAGAGTTCTCTGATCGCATGGCCAAATTGTAGATCACACGTATCAGAGCCCTCCGATCACGTGGTTAGATCGCAAATCTCACGTATCAGAGTTCTCGGATCGCATGGTCAGATCGCAGATCATACGCATCAAAGTTCTCGGATCGCATGGTCAGATCGCAGATCATATGCATCAAAGTTCTCGGATCGCGTGGTTAGATCGTAGATCGTACGTATTAGAGTTTTCCAATCGCGTGGCCAGATTGCAGACCGCAAGCACAAGAATTCTCTAATCGCGTGGCCAGATCGCAGATTGCACTCATCAGAGCCATCAGATCGCAGATCGCACACATCAGAGTTCTCGGATCGTGTGGTCAAATCGTAGATCGCACACATCAGAGTTCTCCAATCGCGTGGCCAGACTGCATATCGCACGCATCAGAGTTCTCCGATCGCATGGCCAGATTCAGATCGCACGCATCAGAGCCCTCCGATCGTGTAGTTAGATCGCAAATCTCATGCATCAGAGTTCTCAGATCACGTGGACAGATAGCAAATCGTACACATCAAATTTCTCGGATCACGTGGTCAGATTGTAGATTGCATGCATTAGAGCTCTCCAATTGCGTGGTTAGATCGCAGATCACACACTTAGATAGCCTAGATCGCGTGGCCAGATCGCAGATCGCACGCTCAAGATCGTTGAGATGATGCGGTCAGATAATTTAGATCGCGCTTCTGAGCAGCCAGATCGCGCTTTCGAGCACTTAGATCGCTGATCTCGAGTTCTCAGATCAAGCTTCACGCTTTCTGATCAAACTGCTTGTGTTCTCAGATCAAGCTTCATGCTTTCTGATCAAACTACTTCTATTTTATGATTGAACTCCTTAAACTCTTAGATCGCAAAGAGCTCTCAAGCTCTCAGATCGTAAAGAGCTCTCCAGTTCTCAGATTGAGCTCCTTATGCTCTCAAATCGAGATTCTTATAATCTCAGATCGAGCTCTTTATTCTCTCTAATTGAGCTCCTTATGCTCTCTAATTGAGCTCATAAGCTCACTAGTTTACTTGAGATCGTGTGCATCAGATCGTTCAGATCGCATGCCTTAGACTCTCAGGTCGAGCTCCTATCAACTCGCGATCAGCTCCTAGCTCTCAAATCGCGATCAACTCTCAATTCTGAGATTGTGAACAGCCTCAAGTTGTATTCTTAGTTCTCAGATAGCGACCAGTTACCAACGTTAGAAAAAACGCATAGAAAACTCAAAACAACCTCGAAACATGCTGAAATGGTGGATTTTGGCCCTAAAAATGGCTCGAACTTGGTCCCCCATTGCCACGATGTAGAGCTCAGAACAAGCTTTTGTGGATATCTTACAGGCTCCAAAACTCTTCCCGGATAAAAAGTTATGGCTGTTTTAAGTTGGCTTATCTGTTTAAGACCTCTAAGCCGTGCGTTTGGGCTTCTGATGTTAGCTCCCTCCAGGAATTCATTTACTGGACATTTCATGTCAGTTATCAGATCGCGCTTAGCTTTAGATCGCTCCAATCTCTCAGATCACAGTCCTAGCTCTTAGCACCTTATTGCACCAAGCATAGTTCGAGCTCTTCAGTCCGAGACTGCAGCCTATAGCACGACAACCATTCAGACCTAAGACATAAGTTTTTGAAGTGCAATTACGTACTCCAAAAACTAGGGGGGTTTTGTTATGCGTAAAAAATCACCTTGATGTCAGCTCAACAAGTGTCTAAAAAATGAAGTGTACTAGCTGCAAGCCCATACTGCCTCAGAGATATTTTATATAAACCCTATCTCATTTTAAGATAAGGATGAATGAGAGCTCTCCATGTGTCAAGATAACTATCAAAAGCACTCATTACATTGACTTCGAAGGTGCATAAATTGACACCTCTCTTTACAAAAAGGAGAACCTGGGCAGATGAGAGGTAGACAAACATTTGAGCTTCATTATTTCTCTCTGTAAACAAAGTATTTCTCTATTTTTTTATGCCTTACGGGTAATATCATAGAAATAGTTGGAGAATAATAAAATAACAGTGGATGTAGGATTTACTTTAAACATCCGAACCACTATAAAAACCTCTCTTGCCAATATTTTTTTTTATGTTTCTGCAACATATATAATCTCAGCACCATATTCAAATCTCATGGATCCATCACGTGTAATTTCTAAGACTCTCTTAGCATTTTGCAAGTGCGAGTCGTTGGTGTCAAAATCAAGCATCAATAAGTATATACTCAAATTTTTATTGCATTTGCACAATGTAAACTCATTTTGTTACATGAATCATATGTCGTTTGCTTAATAAGATTATAATAATATAACCGTGCAATGCCTATTGATTCTTTTTGTATGTATTGGGCTTTTGGTGGTTGGTCTTTGTGTATAGATTATAATAGTGATAGAATTTGAGGTGGGTCTGACTCCTCATCCAATAAGGTTTTATTGAATAGAAGAATTACTCTCTCTTATAAACCAGTAGACTTAAGCATGTCTAGTCGGTGTTGGACTCCAATACTCCCCTTTATAATCAAGCCTATATATGTTGGGTCATGCCTATTAATGGAGGTAGTTGCTGGCTCTAACTCTTTACTCGCTAGTCAAACACTTAGCTCAACTGGGCCTAGCTCTGATATCATGATAGAATTTGAGGTGGATTTGACTCCTCACCCAATAAGGCCTTATTAGGTGAGGAGTCATACCTACCTTAAATTTTATCATGGAATTAGAGCCATGTTTGTTTCTCTCTCCCCTCTTTGGTTGGGGCAATGATGGGTTTGGACCTTTGCCTTGCACGCAGAGTGTGAAGAAGGGTGTTAAAAGTTGAATTTGTCTCACATCACCCCAATAGTGGGCTATTACGGTGTATGTTAATGGTTGGACTCCCTCATCCCTTGAACTAGCTTTTGGAAGTGAGTTCTACCCAAGCCCACTTTATCAAATATCTGCCCTATTTTTGTGATGCTGATATGCTTATGTGTATGCTTCATCAAGACTAGCTTGTTGGTTCATAGGGATTGTAAATCCTTGCTTCTTTTTATTGTTTTTTGTTTGGTCCTTGGGCATGTCCAGGAAACCTAACTCTCTAAGAAACCTCCTTGGTGGTCTGATTCTTTATTCTTTATAATATCACCTCTTTACCTAAAACAAGAAACGAAAAGGATGACTATATAACCAGAGCTTGGACTGGAGTTGAGCTATATACTCAAATTTTTATTGCACAAAATCTGTAAAGTTTATTATTATTTTGCACACAATGTAAACTTATTTTGTTACATGAATCCGTTGTCGTTTGCTTCATAAGATTATAATAATACTTTTGATGCTTGATTTTGACACCAACTATTCATGCATGTGAAGTGCTAGGCGGACTTAGAAATCACACGTGGTACGAAAGTGTAAAAAGAGAGATTGAGCAGGTAGCAATTTTTA